CCCCCCCCCCGCACACACACACACTGCGCCCATGGTTCGTGTGACTGATTCAATTACGAGCCCATTATAAATCCCCAGTGAGGAGAGAACAATTAATAAAACGTTTACCTGCAATTTATATGTGGCCTCGCATTAGTTAGCGTCCGTCCAGCTGTTTTCGTTCCACAGGTGCGCGTCGCTGCGACAAACCAAAACACAATTAGCCACTAATTCACGCCGTCCAATTAAAAATACTTCCAGCAGGTGTGGCACGCGCGCGGGCGGTTGGAAGGGGGTGCAGGCAGTTATTTATGTGCGGCAAGTCACGGGTGATGTTTATTTTATTAACGTACGAATTCGCGCCCCCCCACCCCCAAACCATGACCCGGCTGGTCATACGTAAGAGACGCCGCGATTAGCGATCTGCAGTGGAGCGGGGCGATACGCCGCAAACAGGCGCCGAGTTTGGATGTCACGAGCCGCTGGCGTCGTACATTTTGGGACTCCGAATGCCATTTGCAACCACTTGTTACAAATATCCACCCTTAATTTACCGATTCTTCCAGCCGTCGCCGAGTGGTTCGATTAAATGCGCGTAATGCAGCGACAACGGACACCAACGTCAAAATAAGAGATCCTGTTGAGTCAGGACGTATCGCGACTTCACCAGCCCCAAAATAAAGTTACTGCAAGAAATCCTTCCTTGCTGCAGGCACAGAGAGCGAGCGAACAGCACGGACGCTGACGACTACATCAGCTTTCACAAAACTTCAGCTGAATTGCGCTATTCTGTGCTTATGATAAATGTATTTTTAAATTGGTACCACTCGCCAGTTGACTTAAATAAATGCCCTCAATTGAATGTCAGAGGCAATAAAAAGTCGGGCAAGTGCTTCTAATTTGTAACAACTTCCTATGCAATTGCAAAACTGCGTCAGAGGAAGTCCTTGAGTAAAAACACGAGAAGGTTCGCCTTCTTGCTCACTTCACCGACGGCCAATAAACGTAAACGCAAACACCAGACATCAGAGGGAAATTCAAATCATCTGTTTCAGCTTCATGAAACGTGCTCCGAGCGCGGGGAACACAGACGCGCGGAGCATGTGCACACAGGAACACGTTGGCAAACAAGTGATTCGGTACAGTGAGACTGCACACACGGAAAAAGAAATGACAGCTGTGAATTATTAAACAGAGTTTGAAAGCAGTTTCAATTTGCGCCGCGGTCGAAACGCGGCCAGGTGAGGCAAACAGTCCGCGTCTGAAAGAACAACTTTTGGCACGTGTCACTTAACAGACAACTAAAACGGATTGCGGGTTTGTCCCAGGGCTGACAATTCAGCGGGAAGTCCGGGAACACGCGGTACTTCAGAAGGCTTCAGCCGACAAAGCCGATTGTTTGTTACGATCTCGGAGTCGGCACTAACTGGAAATTAGCCTCAGCTTCACGCTGTGACCACTTTACACCACGGGGGGACAGAGCGCGCGATACGAGACTGCAGACAGAAGGTTGGGGGGGGTTACATGACGTGGAGACAAAGAGAAAAATCCTTACCAAGCGCTAGACCCGAGAATCCTGGTGCACGGTACCACGGCCGACAAAGGTGTTAATTTAACTAGGAAAGCTAAACTCTAACTGAGATGTGAGGATGCTGAATGTGGTCGGAAGAACGTACCCTCGCCGCCATGTGCTACGCCTGTTTCAGAAGTCCGTCATGACACGCGCATTTCCTCACAAACCCCAAAGCAAGGAACAGGCTTGGTTCGTTGGCTATCCAAAGACGCCGTGTCAACATCGCAGGTTACTCGGCGTCGAATGGGACGAGGGTGTGACTGAGTAAGATGAACTGCAAAAGTGCACCAAACCACATTCGAACGCAGGAAACAGGAAAGACCTCTGAAGAAAACAAGGTTGAAGCCTCTCCAGTCCTGAAAGACGCAGATTCTATTACGAGCGGCTAACGCCAGAGATCGATACCGGCGTCATGACCCCATCCGTCTCCGCTGTCACCAAGCACGGACACTTTATATATAAAATACTGAACGCGGGTGCACGAGCACCGAGTCTCCCTACTCCCCTTTGTGTCTGATAAAGACGACTACGCTGGCTGCCATGATGCATGGCGCTCGTAGATCCTTGCTGATAACAACCTCTCAAGACATTCTCCATGAAGGTCTCCCGCGATCACTCCAGACCCAGGAGTCGTAAGCCGTATTATTCTTTCCAAACAGAGCCAGCACATTTTAGATGAAGTTACACGATTTTTCTATCAGACTAGATGAAATTGCGTTCGATTCCCGACTGCGACAGAACCGTCTCGTCACCAATTAAAAACAGGCTCTGGACTAGTCCGGAGCGTGCGCTACTTGGCTTTGCTTCTGAATCGTCTGCCTCCTCTCTTACCATCAGCGGCATGGCAAATCTCACGATGGAATCAAGCAAACGTCCTTCTTTGTCAAGGCTGTTATTCAAATCCGTCAATAGGAACTGTACGTACTCTTCTCTAAAGTAATGTAAATCCTCGATGCCTAACTAAACTATTTTAAAAGTTACTGCATACGAGAATACAAACTTTATTAAAGTAATACTGTGTATGTCACCGTATCAAACATTTGTGCTGATCAAATGACACGATACGGAAGTTCATGCAAAGTGTAAACTTAACTACGCAACTCTAGTCCATGGGAGATCAAACCCAGCGCGCACGCGAGGTTTGGGCCGCAGTGGTTTTTCTGCCGCATTCATGGAACGCACTGTTTCAGTAGGAAGCGAGCGCACGTGCGGAATTTCCACCGCCGCGGTTTTCCCACCGCAACATTCTTCATTTCGTATGTGGTGAGGTGACCGCACAGCTGATAGCGGTGGCAATATAACATGAAGAATTCTACCCGTGTGCGCGCACGAACATGTCTGTTTCATGTCAAGGTCACGACAATATCAGTCCGAGGGAGGCCTTTGAAATTTTCAAGGTCATTCGTCAGTAATTTTTTTAAAACGCATATTTCTGCCTATCTGTATGAATCTGAATGAACATATTTATGTCAGTTTGAGGTCATAGACAGACCAACTTCACCTGAAGATCACGACAAGATCAGTCCAAGGTTTCGAGGAAAATAGGCCTTTAAAATTTTCAAGCTCACTTCATGAAAAAAAAATTATGGTTATATCTACCTAACTGTATTAATCTGTGACCATACTCATGTTAGTTCGAAGCCTCTTACACCCTGAGCGCACGTGCGGTTTATCTGTCGGAACATGCTTCATCTTCGATGCGTTTCGGTGGCCGCACAGCGGCTGGCTTTGGCAATGGAACACTAAGAACCTAACGAGTGTGCGCGCACGAGCGGCGAAACAGCCGCACGTCGACCATTGCTTGCCCGACGTTGGCGAAACTGAGTAGGAGAACAGGCCGGCACTTTACGGTTAGACCATATCTCAGTATAGTGAAAAAAACCAAAATAAAAATTGTATATAGACGTCTGTAAGCTTCTACAAAACCACACGGCGCTACAACCCAGAGGACAGCCACCTTCATCCTTGACTCAGCTCCGTTTATAGCGGCTTCAATAAAAAACGCCAATTCACATGTCATTGTACGCCCCACCAACTGCAATTCGCATTACGTCAAATAATTAACTTCACCAAACACGCACAGTTGCAGTCTCTTTTCCGATTTCTGATTGTATAAACAAAAGTCACATCAGACCGAAATCGATCAACGCCTCTTCGCACAGTCTCGCCTCGCCTTCATATCTAATCTCATGTCACGAATTCCGTTCAGAAGTTTCAGGACAAGAAACGTGACGTCACATTTTGCGTTTATTTTACGGAAGTTCGTTCATAAAAATTATAAAAAAACAAAATTAACCAAAATCTTTAGTGACGCGATGGGTCATCAGAACCACAAGAGCTGTAATAATTTTAACGAATTCTGTTAAACGCGCCTTTGTCGCATGAACATGCAAAGTTGAGAAAAGAATCACGCGGTGGTTAGACATGTCTTATTTTACAACGTGGTCTTCCTGCTTTTCAAACCATCTCGTCCAGAGTTTCGCAGGTTTTCTGACTTCATCACAATAAAATATCCCCAGTTGCGTTTCAGGCCGGGCTTTGCCCTCCACGTCGGACGACAATTTCTGACATTTTCTTCACTGCCGACGTTTCGGCTGCATAACCAAAAACAGTCGATCCCGACCCCGATGTAGAACACGCATTAACCATCAACACACAACAAAACAGAATTGAACTTTCTGGCTCCCCGACATAACTTCAAATATGCGGATACAAATTCGGACTGAAAGTCTCTTTGCAGTTCATGTTCAAGGATGTATAATATATACGACTATGTATTTAGAATTTCAAACGTCGTAATTATCGTTATTTGAGACTTAAATGCACGCGAGTGTCTGTCTGTCTGTCACAAGTCCGAGAAGGACACGCACGGACGGACGGACGGATACAGCTGTTGGCAATCCTGCGAAACGTGCTTAAAAATGAAACCCCAGTCAGTAATCCTCACCAAAGCTGTGTTTCAAATATTTAAGTCTCCAGGAAACAAACACTGTGAGGGGAGCTGAGCAAGTAAGCGACAGAACCCATCGATTATAGATTAGCGCTCCGTTTCCACCGCAACGCAGTGAGAAACATTTGAACAGCGAATGTACGAAACACACGCCTCGTAAGCAGCGTTCATAATATTTTCAGGCACGCGGCTTTCCAAACAGGAAAGCGAAACACGTGTTGACAGAACAGACGGACGGACGGACGGGTAAGGACGGGGTAATGAATAGTCATCTCCATGCCGACAGATTCGTTGTTAATTTTTAGGTTCTTTAGCGACTGAAAGTTGCAAACATCCACCTGTTACCTTTTCGTTTCAGTTCGCAATAAAAACTCGAGAATCCCTCCACCAGATTTTCATTCAACTTGATACTGTGAACTTTCACTAAACTCTATCCACAAAATCCAAGTTTGGGTACAATCGTCCAAAAATCTGAATGCGATCTGCATGCTGAGGTGTGTGAGAAATCCCCAAGTTGTCATGGTTACAGTGAGTACCTGGCGAATATCCCCAGTCGCGCCATCACGTCGGGAATCCTCCGCCATGACGTCACCTCCGAACTGCCAGTCCCCGAGCACCCGCCAACGACAAATCCATTGGCACCGGAAGACTCTAACGTCACAGGCCAATTCTGGCG